CGTACACTGTTTGATGGAAATTCGGGAATAAAATCTGCACAAAAAGTAAATCAATGAAGGATAAAGCTAAATTCACAAGGCTGAACAATGCCGCAGGTTCTTAAATGAATTCTAAACTTACGACTGGAACCAAATGAGGAGAATTAAGAAAAGAAGATGCCAATAGATGAGCGCACGCGCGCACACACACACACGCACACACACACACACACACACACACACACACACACACACACACACACACACACACACACACACACACACACACACACACACACACACACACACACACACACACATACACGCACACACACACATGCGCGCGCCCTTTAGGCATTGGAAAGATAACCAATCATAATCATGATAACAATTATAACAACAACAATAATTATAACAAAATTAAATGAACCAACTGCTGAAGGCTAGACTGAAAAGCAAAGTCAGTTACTCCCTGCAAAAGTTCAACCAAAGATATCGGATGAATAAAACAAATAGACCTGAGAAATGTAAAAAATGTGTGTTTAAAGCGACCCTATGGCCCTTTTGTATGGCAAGCTATGTACTAAATCGGTGACAGATGATCATAATGATAAGTTAATAGGTAATAGGGCATTAAATCATGCAGAATGATATTGCAAACATCACCAATGCATAAGCAAAGTCTTATTTAAATACTCCTTAAGCCTTCGTGGGAAAATATTTGAACGGAAGCCAGCCAAGCAGTAAATGAGCGAGGCAGTAGGTCATCCTGGCTCTGCATTTTGGGCCCTGGTGGGGGAGGGAGTGATGGAGGGAGGGAGTGATGGAGGGAGAGGGTGATGGAGGGAGAGGGTGATGGAGGGAGAGGGTGATGGAGGGAGAGGGTGATGGAGGGAGAGGGTGATGGAGGGAGAGGGTGATGGAGGGAGAGGGTGATGGAGGGAGAGGGTGATGGAGGGAGAGGGTGATGGAGGGAGAGGGTGATGGAGGGAGAGGGTGATGGAGGGAGAGGGTGATGGAGGGAGAGGGTGATGGAGGGAGAGGGTGATGGAGGGAGAGGGTGATGGAGGGAGAGGGTGATGGAGGGAGAGGGTGATGGAGGGAGAGGGTGATGGAGGGAGAGGGTGATGGAGGGGAGAGGGTGATGGAGGGAGAGGGTGATGAAGGGAGAGGGTGATGGGAGGGAGAGGGTGATGGAGGGAGAGGGTGATGAAGGGAGAGGGTGATGGAGGGAGAGGGTGATGGAGGGAGAGGGTGATGGAGGGAGAGGGTGATGGAGGGAGAGGGTGATGAAGGGAGAGGGTGATGGAGGGAGAGGGTGATGGAGGGAGAGGGTGATGGAGGGAGAGGTGGTCAGGGGAGAGAGTGCCGGAGGAAAAGCAAGCGCTGAGAGAGGGAGAGGGGGAGGAGGAGAACGAAGGGACAGAAAAGGAGGAAGCCGAGAGAGGGAGGTAGACCGAGGGAGGGAGGGAGGAAAGGAGGGGGAGAGGGACAGGGACAGGGAAAGAATGAGAGGGAGAGGCCGGCGGACAGAGCGAGAGATAGATAGATAGACAGATAGATAGATAGAGAGAAAGGGAGCAAGGGAGAGCAGCCTGCGGTGGCGACGCACCTTCTCCCCGCTGCGGCAGCCCCGAGGCCACCATGTACGCGTCGCCGATCGTCTCGATCTTGTAGACTTCGTAGAGCTCAATCCTCGAGTCGAACATCTTGTAGAGGGCGTTCAGCAGCGAGATCACCTGGCAAGAGAGTCTCGCATTAACGGATAAAATGTGCCCATTCGCCCACGCACACATGTACCCATGCACACACACACACACACACACACACTGCCAGAAGTCCCATTACCGACGAAAAGCGGGATTATTTTTACTGTCATAGCTTTTGAAATGTTCGTCAAAATGAAAGTAGGAAAGAAAAGCGAACTGAATCAGAGTCAAACCGAATCTCAGGGCAGACAAATCGACACTGAATAAAAATTCTGTTTCATCAGCACGGTCATCACGATACCAGAACGAAATTTCATGAAGCCTTAAAGCGAGAAACAGAGAGAATCAGTGAGAAAGAGAGAGAGAAGAGAGAGAGAGAGAGAGAGAGAGAGAGAGAGAGAGAGAGAGAGAGAGAGAGAGAGAGAGAGAGAGAGAGAGAGAGAGAGAGAGAGAGAGAGAGAAGAGAGAGAGAGAGAGAGAGAGAGAGAGAGAGAGAGAGAGAGAGAGAGAGAGAGAGAGAGAGAGAGAGAGAGAGAGAGAGCGAGAGAGAAGCGAGAGCAACAGCAGCCGAACCCTACCTGCATGGGCGTGCTCTCCGAAGCCAGCTCCGTGAAGCCCACGATGTCGCTGAAGTAGATGGTCACCGACTCGTACGTCTCGGCCGACACCTGCTTCCTCTGCTTCAGCTGCTGAGCGACCGTCGGCGGAAGCATCTGGTACAGCAGCTTGTCCGAGCGCTTCTTCTCGTAGCGCAGCTCGTACGTCTTGTACTGCAGGGTCTCCGTGAAGGCCTGGAAGGAGGGACGGAGGTCAGAACAGGGGGGGCGGAGGGAGGGAGGGAGGGAGGCGGTAAGGAAAGGGAAGGAGGGAGGGAGGTCAGAAGAGGGAGGGGAGGGAGGGGGGGAGGAGGGGGGAGGCGGTAAGGAAAGGGAAGGAGGGAGGGAGGTCAGAAGAGGGAGGGAGGGAGGGAGGGAGGGAGGGAGGGAGAGGGAGGGAGGAGGGAGGGAGGGAGGGAGGAAGGCGGTAAGGAAAGGGAAGGAGGGAGGGAGGTCAGAAGAGTGAGGGAGGGAGGCGGCAAGGAGAGTGAGGGCGGGAGGGAGATAAGGAGAGGGAGGGAGGAAATGACTGATTGAATGAATGAATGAATGGAGGGAGAAGGGAAAGAAGGCGAGGAGTGAATGAAAAGAAATCTTAATGTAAACCCGGTCGACCAACTGACCTGTAATGTCCTCGTCACCATCCTGACGAGGACGATGATGACAGGCGAAATGAGGAGCACAACAGCCAGTATGGCGATGCCCACCACCACGTGGCTGTTGGACGACGTCACCTGGAACGAGAGGGGGGGGTGAGCAGGGCCTCGCGCTGGCTGGCGGCTATGGCTCAAAGGCACTGGGGAAGGCGTGCGGAGGGGAAGAGAGATGTTGGGAGGGCAGGGAGAGGGAGAGATAGATAGATAGATAGATAGATAGATAGAGAGAGAGAGAGAGAGAGAGAGAGAGAGAGAGAGAGAGAGAGAGAGAGAGAGAGAGAGAGAGAGAGAGAGAGAGAGACAGAGAGAGAGAGAGAGAGAGAGAGAGACAGAGAGACGAGAGAGAGAGAGAGAGAGAGAGAGAGAGAGAGAGAGAGAGAGAGAGAGAGAGAGAGAGAGAGAGAGAGAGAGAGAGAGAGAGAGAGAGAGAGAGAGAGAGAGAGAGAGAGAGAGAGAGAGAGAGAGAGAGAGAGAGAGAGAGAGAGAGAGAGAGAGAGAGAGAGAGAGAGAGAGAGAGAGAGAGAGAGAGCGAGAGAGAGACAGAGAGACAGAGAGACAGAGAGACAGAGAGACAGAGAGAGAGGGAGAGGAGAGAGAGAGAGAGAGAGAGAGAGAGAGAGAGAGAGAGAGAGAGAGAGAGAGAGAGAGAGAGAGAGAGAGAGAGAGAGAGAGAGAGAGAGAGAGAGAGAGAGAGAGAGAGAGAGAGAGAGAGAGAGAGAGAGAGAGAGAGAGAGAGAGAGAGAGAGAGAGAGAGAGAGAGAGAGAGAGAGAGAGAGAGAGAGAGAGAGAGAGAGAGAGAGAGAAACAGAGAGAGAGGGAGAGAGGGAGAGAGAGACAGAGAGAGAGTAAATAATAACTAAATAAATAAATAATTTAGATTGATTCCATTTGTTACAATGGATATTCTTGCTGTGACATACTGTCTGTTTTATTTTGCTTCTAAATTATCCCCTGTGTGCAAGGAATGGCCGGTGTTACCATCCACTGGTGGCGAGGGATTCGAACGCAGGTCAGCAAGATTGCTAGACGAGATCGCTACCGCTGCACCACACAGCACAGAGAGAGAGAGAGAGCAAGAGCGAGCGAGAGAGAGAGGCCAACCTCCGACAGAATGGTCTCCTCGATCCTAGTGCGGATCTCGTACTGGATCTTCTGCAGGGCGTCCAGGTAGCCCAGCATGGCGTAGAAGTACTCGGTGGCCTTGTCGAAGTCGGGCTCGATCTTGACCCTGTTGATGATTTCCTGGCGTCGGCGCGTGATGTTCGAGTACCAGGGGTATGTCTGCTGCAGCTGGAGGTACCTGGAAGGAGGAGATACCAAGTGAGATCTTTCAAAGAAACGTCCATCTATACACCTATTTAATTGCTTTTCTTTCTACACGTCTTTTGATTTATTTATCCTCTCTGTTATCTACGGTCTACTGAGATGGCAAAATGGAAGAAACAACAAGCAAAGGAAGTTCTTTTGTGTGTGAAAAAATGCCATTCAAAAGCTTTGTATTTTTGTATTTCTTGCCTTTTTTTCAAAGTTTCGCATTTCTCACTTTCTGTATTTTGTATCTTCCCATCCCTCTCTATAAACTCCTGTTACCAATCCTCCCCAAACATCCGCCTTCTCTGCCCGGCGGCCCACGTACCTGTCCTTGATCCAGTAGGCGAAGCTCTTACTAGCATTGAGGAAATCTTGTCCGAGCGCGTCGTTGGTGACGAAGTTGAGGTAGGAGGTGTGGTCGAGGTCGCCCCTGCCGAAGTACTCCTCGCCGAACACCATGGAGATGCCCAGGTGCTCGATGGCGCGGATCAGGTTCTTGTAGGCGAGCAGCGGCCGCCACACGCCCGAGCTGTCCTTCTCCTTGATCTCCCGAGTCAGCTGTGGGTGTGGGGGGAAGCCTGTGATTTTCGAGGATCGTAGGAGACACATGTTTTGTAGTCGGTGGCAAATACGTTTGTGGTCAGTGGCACGGTATTTGTGGACACAGATATAATTTTTTGTAGTCAGTAGCATGATATAGTTTGCTAAAGCCGTATATTTTATGTAGTCAGTGACCTATAATATTTATT